GATACACCACATCTATCTTGGTGGTATGGGATCCCAAGTCACCTTGTCTGTCTCCTGAGGAAGCTGTATAATGACCAAGTAGCAACAATAAGAACCGACCATGGAACAACAGACTGGTCCAAGATTGGGAAAGGCATACAGCAGGGTTGTATACTCTCACCCAACCTATTCAACTTGTGACGGCGCGTGTGGCGCCACCTATATGTAGAACTGTTAGTTACAAGATTTAAACTGTCGTATCATGCCTGTCTACCTTGTATATGTGTGGTTGAGTTTCATTGTTTGTTTCATTGTGTTGTTGTGCATCTGTTGGCTTGCTTCCCCAGCTTGGTTGTTTTGGCTCCACCCCCTTCCAAGGGAAAATAGAAAATCATCTCTCTCACTTTTTTTACCACATATAAAGACTCATTAGATGGAAGTGCATATAGTTTGGCTCAAAGCCCTTGGTCAAGTCATTTCTTACCACCAATTCTAAGGTTCTTTACCCCTGAGACTTATGCTTTATGTTCAGATCAACCTGAACAACATTGGGAAGTCTCAGGCACCTTCAAACCATTTTCTTTGGCACCAGAGGAAGGCCTTGTCTCTTCATATATAGGCCATTGGACTGGGGTTGTGAGTGTTCCGACCTCATAGCCATTGAGCAAGAGGGAACTTAGAAAGCTTCTCAGTTGGACCCAAGACAACCAGAGACTGTTGTGTATTTTTTCTTTACCCCCATTTTGGAACATCAAGTTTAACACCTTAAAATATAACCTTTTGTGATCAATAAAGCCTATTTTGAATTATTTTGTGTCTTGTTGATCCTCGGGAGTTCCAGTTTTCCTAAAGGAATGCAAAAAGCAGAAGCTTGTTTTTTCACTAAGAACTATAGGTTCCCAGGCAGCGATGGCATACAACTTGTATGCAGAACACATAATGCGACGTGTGGGGCTTGACAAATCCAAGGCTGGAGTTAAAATTGCTGGAAGAAACATTAACAACATTAGATATGCAGATGATACCACTGATGACTGAAAGTGAGGAGGAGCCGAGGAGCCTTCTAACTAAGGTGAAAGAAGAAAGTGCAAAAGCTGGGTTGCAGTTAAACATTTAAAAAACCAAGATTATAACAACCAGACTGATCAATAACTGGCAAATAGAGGGAGAAAACATAGTGACAGACTTTGTATTTCTAGGTGCGAAGATCACTGCAGATGCAGACTGCAGTCAGGAAATCAGAAGATGTTTACATCTTGGGATGAGAGCAATAACCAATCTCAATAAAATAGTGAAGACATCACACTGGCAACGAAGAGCTGCACAGTTAAAGCAATGGTATTCCCTGTAGTACCCTATGGATGTGGTCCATGAGGTCATGAAGAATGGGAAATGATTGAATGAATAAACAACAAGACAACATCTGCTCTAGATTATTAAATATGGATTTCTGTGGGCGAGCAGATAGTGACAACAGAACGGCATATGTTCTGCATCCGAAACAAGGGCTGAAGTGGTCTATCCAATGCAGTTTTTGAATCAGCACCCCAAATAACCAAACTGAATCTGTTGTTGTTTATTCGCTCAGTTGCTTCCAACTCTTTGTGACTTCATGGACCAGCCCACACCAGAGCTCCCTGTCAGCCATCGCCACTCCCAGCTCCTTCAAGGTCAAGCCAGTCACTTCAAGAATAACATCAATTCATTTTGTCCTTGGTCTGTCTCCCTTTTTCCTTCCTTTTCCCCCAGCATCATTATCTTCTCCAAGCTTTCCTGTCTTCTCATTATGTGACCAAAGTACTTCATCTTTGCCTCTAATATCCTTCCCCACAGTGAGCAGTCAGGCTTTATTTCCTGGAGTATGGACTGGTTTGATCTTCTGGCAGTCCAAGGCACTCTCAGAAATTTCCTCCAGCACCACAGTTCAAATCTAAACTGAATCTAAAGTTGACCAAAAACTGATTCGTAACCCTTTTGGTACTAATGTTGGAGAGTGGTCCTTGGTCAAAGTGGTCCCTGATCAAGTGGTCCCAAATCAAAAAAAGGTTGAGAACCACTGCCTTAACTGTATTTCTATACTGTATTGCTTGATTGAGATTTTAAGTTACTGCAATGCTAGAAATTTAGAGATTGAAGGATACTTTCCCTTGCAGGGTCAGTATTTTTGGAGAGGTCTGTATCACCCAACCACACCTTCTCTCTCTCCATCTCTTTTGCGCTCCATTTTTCTTTATTGCCTATGAGGTTATGATTGATCCTAATAGTTACTAGAAAGTAGATTTCATTTGAAAATTAAAAGGCAATTCTTGACAGTCAAAGCAGTTTAGCAATTGAACCAGTTGCCGGAGAGATGATGGGTTTGCCTTCTCTGGAAGTCTCCAAAAAGAGATCGAACAGATGTTTTTGTTGGAGATCCTCAACTGAGGAGGGAGTTGAACTTGATGTTTAATAAGACCCTTCCAAATCTCAGATTCTATTATTCTATCTCTCCCCACCATTCCCTCCCCAAAGTTCTCCTTGCTATTTTGGGTATGTCCAACCAGGGCAGATGTTTTGCTGACTTGAGTCCGCAACATCCCTTTGTGAAGCCTCTCTAGAAGAAATAAGGACCTTTTAGCTAAGGACATGAAAGGGGAAGTGGGCATGTTGTTGTTTCCTGGAGAGTGAAGGTTACTCAGAGTGAGACTGAGATGGAGCAATCAACTTCCTTTCTTTTCACCTGGGAAGTTAGGGAACCACAGGGAGAAGAATATTGTCACTGAAAGTATGAGTAAGGGGCATATTGTCCCCTCAATCCTCCACTTATGAGAGTTAACACAAGCAAGACATATTGGAAATATGGATTTCCTCCCAACTGATTTAGGTAGAACAATATATTCTGTGAATTCTTTGGAAGGAGCTTGCTATGCTAAGAGTCTAATCCTTACAGTTGAAAGAGGACCATGAGAGACTATATGATCAGAATATACTTTGATGGATATCATGCTTCCCAATTGTAGCACGACAATTCCATTTTAACTGATAGCAATGGTTATCAATCATTCTTCTACATCAGGGGTTCTCAAACTTTTTAAGTAGAGGGACAGCTCAGGGTCCCTCCAGACCAGCCGCTTAAGCTGCTGAGAGGGAAAAGGAAAGGGCCTAAGGCTGTTAGGAATTGTGGGAGTTGGAGTCCAAAACACCTGGAGGACCAAAGTTTGCCCATGCCTGCCCCAGACTGTTGGGAGCCAGACTACAGTTTGAAAAAAAACCCGAACCAATTCCTATACACACTGCACATATCTTATTTGTAGTGAAAAAGAATGAAACATCAATACAATACTTAAAATGAAGAACAATTGTAATCAGCATAAACCAGCATTTCAATGGGAAGTGAGGGCTTGCTTTTGGCTGATGAGATTGTCAAGTTAATTTTGATTATTGTTATTTGTGTCTTTAAGTTGTTTCAGACTTAGGGCAACGCTAAGTCTAAAGTTTAGGGCGGGAGCTGGGTAAATGACGTTGGGAGGTCGCATCTGGCCCACAGGCCTTAGTTTGGTACCCCTAGTCTACACAAATATTTTTAAAATGACCTTTTTTGCATACTATTGTCCTTTCGTTTTCAGTTATGCATTTCCTCTTCTTTGACAACCTGTAGGTAGGTATTGCTAAGAAAGATACTGACTGGAGCCAAATTGAGACAGACACTTGCTGGGTTGTTTTAGGTTTTTCGGACTATATGGCCATGGTCTAGAGGCATTCCCTCCTGCCTCTAGCCCAAAAAAGCCTACAACAACCCAGTGATTCTGGCCATGAAAGCCTTCGACAAGACACTTGCTTCTTGTAAATGGCTCATTTGCCAGAATTATATATTACCTATTCCTGAACGTAACTTAACTTTTATTTAGCTAAGTAGCAGTGGTACTAAGAAACTCTGACTCCACCTGCACTGCCATATAAATTTATTTATTAATTTATTTATTGTGTCAGAAGCGAATTGGGAATACAGTTATAATGCATACAAAAACCACAAACAAAGTTAGAAGCTTGGCATTATATTAAATTTCCTTTGAGTGACTCTGGTGTGGCTATAAAGAGGTCCTCCATTGTACATATGGCAGGGCTCAGACTGCATTATAGTAAGTGGTTTGTAGTTTGCTCTTCTCCACACTCACATGTTGTGGACTCCACTTTACAGTCCCATTTCTTAAGGTTGTCTCTGCATTTCGTGGTGCCACATGTGCTCAGGGGTGAGTTTCTCATCCAGTCTCAGCCACTGATTGAGGTTCACAGTTTTAGCCTACCACTTTTGGACTCTTGCTTGCTGAGGTGTTCCTGAGAGTATCTCTGTAGATCTTAGAAAGCTATTTATTGATTTAAGGCGTTAGCTTGCTGGCTGATGCCTGAACTGAGGATGGGCCGGAGATGTCAATATACCTTGGTCCTTTCATTACAGGCTGCTACTTCCCGACAGATGTCAGGTAGCGAAATACTGGCTAAACAGTATAATTTCTCCAGTGATGTAGGGCGTAGACATCCTGTGATAATGCTGCATGTGTCATTAAGAGCCACATCTAGTATTTTAACGTGGTGAGATGTATTCCATATTGGGTGAAGTAGCAGAGTTTAACTGTATTGAACTGTGCATTATATGGCAGTGTAGCCTCATACAGTTAAACTACATTATATGGCCATGTAGATTATTGAATTGTGAAGGTGTGTATCAGGACACTGGCAAAAGTGTGCAATGTGCATTTGATGCAATGTACATTGATGTATGTGTGCATTAGTGTGCAGTGCAATGCACATTAATGGACAGTGTACACTGGGCACGTTGCTGGCTTTGTTACATAGGAACATAACAGCAGCTTTGTACTGAATATGGACATTATGAAACTAACTAATTCTAATTCCCAGAACTGTAAATCTACTTACAAAGACATTAAGAACCCAGCAGTACTCTGGCCATAATCTCTTATTGAGCTGATGAATATATCAGGGAAATTTTCAAGAGCTTGGCCACTTTCATCTTTCTACATCATGTGGAACTCTTGTATGCCAAGTTACACTATTTGTTCATTCAGAGTGAGAATGTCTTCTCCAACTGAGCACAGCTCCCTGGTGACTCGTGAACATCGCTGTGGTTCCACTGGGCAGAATTTGTGCACATGACTGGAAATGCCTCCTTAAAAGGTCAGTGAATGAGCATGGTGGAGAGAAAACCACGCAGCCTACCAGCAGCTTGTTGCATGAAATAGTTGCTGACATGCACAATGGTTTAAAAATAAGATTCATGAGGCAGCCATATTGTGGGAAGTATCTCATAAACAAATCTGTGTATGTCTTAGAGACCTCTAGGCTTGAACTTAGAGGTTGACTGTTGGGATCTCAATTACAAACTTGGGTACTGAAATCTTTATAAACTTGGACCTCCACATCTTTACTTACATGGACTTCCAAGTGTTTTTTCAAGCTTAGAAGGTTCCCAGATGTCTGGTTCAAACCCTGACTTTTGGAGCCTGATCCTTCTTCTTTATTCTTCAAAAAGACCTGACTGCATTTACTTCGTCTGTTAAGAGTTGGTGTTTTCTATTTAACTACCATACTGTGTGCAACTGTGATTGTTTTTTTTTAATGCATCGTGCTTAATGGCATCATTGCCATCATAAGAGACCTTTCCAATTCTCAGGTTTTGATGCAGAAATCTCAGGATAGAGGATAGTCCTTACCTGGTAACCTTGGACCACGATGCTGGCACTAAGATACCTTTGAGTTGGCCTACATCTTCTAGATAAATAAAAATGTAATGTTCAATTGTGGGATTAATATAATTGAAAAAAACCACTGGACGAATTGCCATCAAATTTGGACACAAGACACCTACTAACCCAAGGAGTGGCCATAACTAAAAAAATTGATTTTGTCATTTGGGAGTTGTAGTTGCTGGGATTTGTAGTTAACCTACAATCAAAGAGCATTCTGAAGTCCACCAATGATGGAATCAACCAAACATAGCACACAGGACTCCCATGACCAACAGAAAAAACTAGAAGGGTTTGGTGGGCATTGTCCTTGAGTTTGGGTGTTGTAGTTCACCTACATCCAGAGAGCACTGTGGATTCAAACAATAATGGATCTGGACCAATCTTGGTATGAAATAACATATGCCCAAATATGAACACAGATGGAGTTTGGGGTAAATAGACCTTGACATTTGGGAGTTGTAGTTACTGGGGTTTATAGTTCACCTACAATCAAAGAGCATTCTGAACTCCACCAATGATGCAATTGGAGTGCCATTATTGTTACCATCATGTTTATATTGTTGGTGACTAGCAGTTGAGGGACAAAGAGGTACATTTCTGTGCATACACATGAATGGATTCATATGCCAATCAATAGTTTCTCATGATTGGGTTGTTGTAGGTTTTTGAGGCTGTATGGCCATGTTCTATAAGCATTCTCTCCTGACATTTCGCCTGCATCTATGGAAGGCATCCTCAGAGGTTGTGAGGACCTCACAGCCTCTGAGGATGCCTACCATAGATGCAGGTGAAACGTCAGGAGAGAATGCTTCTAGAACATGGCTATACAGCCTGAACATGGCCATACAGCCTGAAAAACCTATAACAACCCAGTGATTCTGGCATGAAAGCCTACGACAACATGTTTCTCATTATGATGAGGCTAATGCTAAAATATAATGCTCTTAAGTATTAATACTGAAGTGTAAGCATTGTATGAAACATTCTTGCAGAATGAAAAAGAAACAACGACTATTAATAAGTTTTCAAACATCTTGTTTAGAAAGCCTGTGCATGAGGGGTTAGTGTAAAAAAATGCAATACAGAACACATTGTAGAGCGGAGGTTATGTGCTCCAAGCTGTGAGGCTTGGAGTGAGAGATAAATAAATATTATCAATACCACTTCCTCTATTGCAATGGTTCCCAACTTTTCTAATGCCGTGACTTCTAAATAAAGTTCCTCATGTTGTGGTGACCCCCAACCATAAAATTATTTTCGCTGCCACTTCAGAACTGTAATTTTGCTACTGTTATTAATCATAATGTAATATCTGATGTGCAGGATTATATTTTCATTCACTGGAGCAAATTTGGCATAAATACCCGATATGCCCAAATTTGAATACTGGTGGGGTTGGGGAATGTATTGATTTTGTCATTTGGGAGTTGTAGCTGCTGGGATTTATAGTTCACCTACAATCAAAGAGCATTCTGAACTCCACCAACGATGCAATTGAACTAAACTTGGCACATAGAACTCCCATGATCAACAGAAATACTTGAAGGGTTTGGTGGGCATCTACCTTGAGTTTTGGAGTTGTAGTTTACCTACATGCAGAGAGCACTGTGGACTCAAACAATGATGGATCTGGACCAAACTTGGCACAAATATCAATATGCCCAAATGTGAACACTGGTGGAGTTTGGGGAAAATAGACCTTGGCCTTTGGGAGTTGTAGTTGCTGGGATTTATAGTTCACCTACAATCAAAGAGCATTCTGAACCCCACCAATAATGGAACTGGGCCAAACTTGCTACACAGAACCCCCATGATCAACAGAAAATACTGTTTTCTGATGGTCTTTGATGACCCATTTGACACTTGTTTGCGACCCACTCCAGGGGTCCCAACCCCCAGGTTGAGAAACGCTGCTGTATTATCACATGTAAAGATTCAGTTATTGTTTCTGACACCTAGGTATTTCATTTCAGCACCTTCTCAGAGTTAAAATATGTTCCCACTTGCAGAAGGGTAGAACAAGCAGTGGGATTTTTAACATCTGCATTTTCAGACCACATTCTCAGTGAACTTTTGGCCGCTTGCATGGCAGCAACATAGTGTTTTCTTTTTTGAATGAACCACATCAGGGCTGTGGTCAGATGTCTCCATTTCTATATCTAGCATAGCTTCCCACAATGGACTTGCTGACACACAGCAAGCAGATGGCCTTATTTATTTAATTATTTATGATATTTCTACCCCGACTTTCTCGAACCCGAAGGTGACTCAAGGCGGCTTTACAACATAGGCAGCTATTCGATGCCATTTAAAAAATGTAAAATTACAACAAACATTTAAAACAATTATAAGTTACATACATTAAAACCTTTAAAAACATATAAAACCACTACCTTCACTATTATCCTCATCATCCAAAAAATTGTCTAAGCCATTCCAGTATTTGACTTCACATAGTTACATGTTTATTTATTACACTAGGTTCCCCAAAAGCCATGTTTTCACTTTTCTGCAGAAGGTCAGGAAGGAAGAGGCTGATCTAATATCCCTAGGGAGGGAGTTCCACAGCCAAGGGGCCACCACTGAGAAGGCCCTGTCTCTTGTCCCCGCCAGTTGCGCCTGCGAAGAAGGCGGGACTGAGAGCAGGGCTTCCCCAAATGATCTTAAACTCCTAGATGGTTCATAGGGAGAGATACGTTCAGACAGGTAAGCTGGGCCAGAACCGTTTAGGGCTATATAGGCTAAAGCCAGCACTTTACATTGTGCTCGGTAGCAAATCAGTTCCTCTTTGTATCCTGATTTGGGGTATTTATATATCAACTAGCCATCTCCTGCCACATGTTGCTGTGGCCTAGTCTGGTGATCGGAAAATAAAGTAATAAGAAAGTGTTGGTTTCTAATATATGTAATTTCTTTATGCTTGTGGGTAAACAGTATTTCTTGCTGTTTATTTGTCAGTGTTGATGTCGAGATTGTCTGGTTTGCCTACTCTAGAACATGTAACATATAATTGTCCTTCTTTAAGAGTTCCTTTCAAATCTATCATACTATACCTGTGTGTGTGAATCATATATATCTAATCTATATCTATGGCTAGGTGGCTCTTTGTCAGGAGGGCTTTGATTACATTTTCTTGCCCTGGTGAAGGGAGTTTTGGCATATTGCGTCTTTGTGCCAAGTTTGGTCCAGATCCATCATTGTTTGAGTGCCCTGGAGATTAGGATGTGGAACAATGCTTCAAACGACAGGAAAGGAGATTCCACTTGAACATGAGGAAGAACTTCCTAACAGTGAGAGCTGTTCAGCAGTGGAACTCTTTGCCCCAGAATGTGATGAAGGCTCCTTCTTTAGAGGCTTAGAAACAGAGGCTGGATGGCTATCTGTCAGGGGTGCTTTGAATGCGATTTTCCTGCTTCTTGGCAGAGAGTTGGACTGGGTGGCCCACAAGGTCGCTTCCAACTCAATGATTCTATGAAAAATAAGGCCTCCTTGAGTCCTTTTCGGGGTGAGACGGGTGGAATGTAAATGTGGTAAATCTATATAAATAAAAATGTAATGTAATATAAAAATATATAAAAAAATGTTCGTTTGTGGGATTAACGTAACTCAAGAACTACTGGACGAATTGATACCAAATTTGGACACAATACGCCTATCAGGCCAATGAGTGACCGTCACTCATAAAAACACTGAAAAACATAGCAGAAGAGACTTAAAAAGCCAAAAGAATAAAAAAAATACATTACAAAGCATGTGCAAAACCACATATATATACACAAACACACATATATATACACACAAAGAAAATAGACTGGGCTACAGCAATGCGTGGCAAGGGATGGCTAGTCTATATAAATAAAAATGTAATGTTCGTTTGTGGGATTAACATAACTCAAGAACCACTGGACGAATTGACACCAAATTTGTACACAATTCACCTATCAGGGCAACAAGTGACCACCACTCATAAAAACACTGAAAAACACAGCAGAAGAGACTGGAAAAGCCAAAAAATAAAAAATGCATTACAACGCATACACACACACACACACACACAAAGAACGTATATACAAACTGGGCCACAGCAACGTGTGGCAAGGAACGGCTAGTTTATGTAAATAAAAATGTAATGTTCGTTTATGGGATTAACATAACTCAAGAACCACTGGACGAATTGACACCAAATTTGGATACGATTCACCTATCAGGGCAACGAGTGGCCATCACTCATAAAAACACTGAAAAACACTGCAGAAGAAACTTAAAAAGCCCAAAAATAAAAAATACATTACAATGCATATGAAAACATATCTACACATATACACACATATATACATATACACACACACAAAGCACATATACACAGACTGGGTCACAGCAATGCGTGGCAGGGGATGGCTAGTAAATAAATAAAATTAAAAGCAGCTTGCCTTTCGAGGGAAGGCAATCCTCATGAAGACATGCATCTGGCAAAGGCTTTGTGTCCCATGAGTCACTGACCCTACTCCAAGAGAGGGGTGATATTTTATAATAATAATAATAAATCTCCCTCTCTTTTCTTTGGAATCCTGGGTTAAATGACCGCATGCCTCAACTGGTTTTGTCCTCCCATTTTTAGGCAAACCTTCCTTAACCTCGGCATGATCTTCTGCATTTCTCCCATCTGCCACACAGAATCGAATAACCATCTCACCGAGTTCCTCTTTTTGTCGGGAGCTAATCTTCCTTTGGACAGAAATCAAGATCTCATCTGGGTAAAAGCGGCAAGAAGCAACCGAGACATCTTTCAGTTTCCCAGGAAAGGACACTGGTGAAAGACACGAGAGAGCTTGATCGTTGTGTTGCGTCTGGCAGGTAACTTTCAAACTCGCATGGCACACTCTTTATCCTCTCTATTTCAATGTTATGCCCATGAGACCCCAATGATCATTTGGCTTTTGCATTTTTCCTGTTTGTTTTCAATTTACAAAAGAAGACAAGTGTGTTTGTTTCATGAGACTGAAGCTCGCCGGAGTTTCTCAGGACAGGTTCCGTCTCTTGGCTGTGGTTTGTGGTGCTAACAATGGCACTCTTGTGGTTAACAGTGCAGCCATGTGTCACTGCTGTGTCTGGGCTTGTGCATGATAGGTCCTAGCGTGATTTTGATGCGAGGGTTTGAGATCTCAGAATATGTATTGTTTTTACTGAGCATGGCTCCTCCCTTGAGCATATCTCTGGCCAAATTTAATGGTGAAGTACATGAGCCGCACATGAAAAGACCCTTGCTTCATCCTTGGCTTTTCTGCATTTTGCTAAAAGAACCTCAGGTGGCAGAATTAAGAATGGGTTGTTGTAGGTTTTTTCAGTCTATATGGCCATGTTCTCTCCTGATGTTTCGCATGCATCTATGGCAAGCATCCTCAGAGGTTGTGTGGTCTGAATTAAGAATAATCTCCAGGAAAGAGGTTGGAGAATCAGGAAAGTTTGTTGTTGGAATTACATGGTTTTTTAAAGAAAAGTTTCAGAGGACACTAGGGACGTTTGTATGCTTTAGCTGTATTTACTTCTTGGGCAATCCCTCGTAGCTCGAGAATGATTGTCTTCCAGATGTGATGTCTTGGTGGTGGGTCTGTAGGTGGCTGGGGAGTCCTATTATTGATCCGCATCTTCTCCTGCAGTGAGGGCATTGGTTTCCACGTGGAAGGCGGTCCCAGTAAGGGTTGGCTTGATGTGCCTTCCTCTTGTCATATTTCTCTCTTTCGCCCTCCGTTCGTGCCTCTTTGAATTCCGCAGCACTGCTGGTCACAGCTGACCTCCAGTTACAGCACTCAAGGGCCAAGGCTTCCCAGTTCTCGGTGTCTATGCCGTAGTTTTTCAGGTTGGCTTTAAGACCATCTTTAAATCTCTTTTCCTGTCCGCCAACATTCCATTTCCCATTCTTGAGTTCAGAGTAGAGTAGCTACTTTGGGAGATGGTGATTGGGCATTCGGATAACGTAGCCAGTCCAGCGGAGTTGATGGTGGAGGACCATCACTTCAGTACTGGTGGTCTTTGCTTCTTCCAGCATGCTGACATTTGTCTGCCTGTCTTCCCAAGAGATTTGCAAGATTTTTCAGAGGCAGTGCTGATGGATTCATTCCAGGAGTTGCATATGACATCTGCAGACAATCCACGTTTCACAGGCGTATAGCAGGGTTGGGAGGACAATGGCTTTATAAACAAGCACCTTGGTCTCCTTATGGATGTTCTGGTTCTCAAACACTCTCTGCTTCATTTGGAAAAATGCTGCACTCACAGAGCTCAGATAGTGTTGTATTTAGTTGTATTACACTTACCGTATATATCCGAGTATAAGCCAACCTGAGTATAAGGCACCTAATTTTACTTATTGACTTGACTCAGTGGAGGGAAAACTTATTGACTTAATGACTTGGTGGTGCAGCAGGTTAAACCGTTGAGCTTCTGAATTTGCTGACCAAAAGGTGCTGCTACGATTCCAGGGAGCAGGGTGAGCTCCCACTGTTAGCCCCAGCTTCTGTAAGCTAACAGTTCAAAAACATGCAAATGTGAATGGATCAATAGGTACCACTTCTGCGGGAGTTATGCCAGTCACATGCAGTTATGCCAGTCACATGACCTTAGAGGTGTCTACGGACAACGCCGGTTCTTTGGCTTAGAAATGGAGATGAGCACCACCCCCCAGTGTTGGATATGACTGGATTTAATGTCAGAGGAAAACCTTTACCTTACCTATAAGCCAAGGGTGGGAAATGCAGCATCTACTGGTAAATTTCAAAATAAAAATAGGTACCAATAAAATTACATTAATTGAAGTATCAGTAGGTTAAATGTTTTTGAATATTTACCGTATTTCATAGAAAAATGGTAAACTAGCTCTGTAAGTGGAAAAGTAGGGTCAACAAAAAGAATACGGTATCAACAATAACATAATAATAATAATAATAATAATAATAATAATAATAATAATTTCCACTCTGTCTCCCCCATGGAGACTCAGGCTGGCTTCCAACATAGTAACAGGCAAACATTCAATGCCTATATAAACAATGCAGAGCTAGATATAGATCGATAATTATATATACTAATTTTACATATGCATTTGCCCTTGAAACATTTATAAATCCTCTATATATGTGTGTGCATTTTCATCCTGCAACATTTGCAAGCCCTATATATCTATATTCCTTTATATCTATCAAGGCATCTTTCTCTCTATATATAGATAGCAAAGACTTTACACCTTTCCCAAACATGTAAAGGAAAACTACCCCTTTTTAGGGTTCAGGAATGAAGACATAAATAAAATGAAGGCAGTAGTTCATTTGACAGTACACCTGTCCAGAGGTGAGTTGTTTGGTTGGTTTGGCATCTGGAATGTTTCACGGAGCAGAATGAAGCTGATCATAGGAAGGTTTTGGACACATATTAGCCAATCTTTCAACAACAGTCATTAAGCTGTAATGGAAAATTACCAAACAAGCACTGAATGAAAACAATTTCTTTCATTTTCTTTCATGTTCAAATTATTACTACTAGAAAGTGCCTGTAAGAGAATGGCAGGGTAGGAGTGCTCTGCAAATGCTAATCTGCTTTTCCTTGATCTTCCTAAGAATTTAACAACAGCTTTTTTTTTTCCTTGTTGGAGATGTTTTTCCTTCTACCTCACTTTGACCTTATGGTCACCCGCTGCCCTTTCCCTTCATGTGCATGGCACTGCCAACACTGCTACGGAAATTTTGTAAGCTCTTCTCAAATATAAGCTTAGTGTTGCAAACTTCACATTCTTCTCTGACTACACTGGAGAATTAATACAGCTTGGTGAGGCATCATCATTGGTCAAGAAGACTAAATGCTTTGCAAACCTATACATCCCACGATTCCATGACATTTATTTATTTACACAACTTATATTTTTCCCCTCTCACCCCGAAGGGGACTCGGGGCGGATCACAGAACACATATACAGCAAACATTCAATGATGATTATACAATGACAAGACAGACAACAGATAGAGGTATTATATAGACTTTTTTCTCATCATTCAGCAGCTTTTGGAGGCTGTGCTTGGTTCCAGCCACAGGGGAGTTCTGTCATTCCATCTCCTTGCTGAAGAGCTTTCTTTGTTCGTAAACTTTCCTCCGAAATACCGTTCCTAAAATGCCTCCCCACTTAATGCGGTTCCTATTCATCTACTCACATTTCTGTTTTTGATCCGCTTAGTGGACGGGGGAGCTGGGCTGAAGGTCAGGAGCTCAATCTGACCCGGCTTCAAACTGTCAATCTTTCAGTCGGCAAGATTTATTGCAGCTGCAGCTGGTGATTAACCCACTGTGCTAAAGCTGGCCAAGTGGTATCAAACTGCAATAATTTTACAGCGTAGATGTACCCTTCATTCCTTCCTTCTCTTGTCTCCTGGGCTGATATTGTGCAAATAATAATAACAATAATAATAATAATAATAATAATAATAATAATAATAATAATAGCAACAACAATAACAACAAACATGAACATCATAACCACCCCACCCCCACCCTGAGTAATATCAGTAAAATGCAACAATGGCTGCAGAATATAAGACAAACTGCGATCAATATCAGTCTCATAAAGTGCATGGTGAAAGGTGGTTTCCAAACTTTGATCCTACAATCTAGAATTGTGGAAGTTGAAGTCCAAAACACCAGAGTATGAAAGTTTGGATACTTTTGTATTATGAAATACATGGGGGGGGGGGGATAGTACATATCCATTGAGATTCATTGGAATTTTATTCCAGGAGCCCCATTGATACTCAGGTTCCCTTATTTACAAATGGTGTCTCTTGCATCAAGTGGTTGTTTTTTGAAAATTGTTTTTAATATTTTCAGTGTGTGAAAGTCGGTTGCATGCTTCAAATCACTTCTGGTGTGAGAGAATCAGCCATTTACAAAGACAGTGCCCAGGGGACGCCTAAATATGTTACAATCCTACAGAGAGGCCTTAAATATAAGATACTCGCAGGAACACTTTAGCAAGTGAGAGTCCAAAAGTGACAGGCTAAACCCGGAATCTCACTCCATGGCTGATATTTATTTATTTATTTATATATCTATTTAATGTACTTATACCCCATCCTTCTCATCCCCAAAGGGGGACTCAGGGTGGCTTACAAACTATGGCAATAATTCAATGCCAGATTCAGACAAGAGCAATAACAGTAAACAAATATTATAAAACTATAAAGACATATACATATCAATTATAACTAATATTTCAGATGATTAGAATATATCAAATGATATCAAAGGAGAGACTCCCTTCTGGGCACACAGAAGATTGGGCGACTTGGAAGGCGCTGAACAGTCTGCGCTCTGACACCACGAGATGCAAATCCAGTCTTAAAAAATGGAGCTATGAAGTGGAGTCCATGACATGCGAGTGTTGAGAAGACCACCTACTACAATGCAATCTGAATCCTGCCACATGCACAATGGAGGACCTCCTTACAGCAATGCCAGAGTAATTCAAGTGGCCAGCTTCTGGTCAAAGGACATTTAGTATAATGCCAAGTTTTTAACTTTGCTTGTGTTTTTAAATACATTACAACTGTACCCTCAATTCACTTCTGACACAATAAATGTGTGGGTATGAGGAGTTGACTGTAGTACAATCATTACACAAAAGAAGGGGAAACACATTAAAACTACCATAGAAAAAACAATAACACAAAATAAGCAACATCCCCTGTTGGCTTTCTACTACAAATCACTAAGCAGCCCACAACAAAACAGTTTTCAAAAGTTCACTTCCCACTGTTCCAGGCAATGACAACAATGTCATTATATCATCCACTTCCTCTATTCTCTTTGTAAAAGTTACACTTCTACCATAAAGGGAGAAAACACCAACAATATTCCAAAACCACAAGAGTTATTTTCCCTACCCTTTTCTTAATACATTGTGAAAAAGATCCCCAGTCTTTTAAACAATTGTCTAAAAACTTCAGTTGAATAAAAATAATCAATTTAGTTTAATTCCTGCCATTCCAAAGCTCTTCAAGATCCAACCTTTTCCTGATCCTTCCCACAGACTAGATGCATCCTCTCTGTTGCATCTCTATTGGATGATGAAGGATCTCACTCTCAACATACTGATTTTGTTGCATTATGCATTAAGTAGCTCTGAGGATAAAGTGAAAATATAGCACTTCACTTAACATGGGATATAAACCAGGAGCCCCCATTGGTGCCCAGAGGATGCCCAGATGTCTTGCCATCCTGTGAGAGGCTTCTCTCATGTCCCCGCATGGGAAGCTGGAGCTGACAGATGGAGCTCAACCCACTTTCCCTGAATTCAAACCACAGACCTATTGGTCAGCAGTCCTGCTGGCACAAGGGCTTAACCCTTGTACCACCAGAGGCTCCATTACTCAGGATGTTGAAGAATCATATGCATAAGGCTATATTCATTTATTATTTTATTTATTTATTTCAAACATTTGTACCCCGTCCTTCTCAACCCCCGAGGGGGGACTCAGGGCACCTTACAATGGCAATAATTGGACACCAACACATACAAATGCACAATACAACATGACATAACAGAGTAGATTAAAACATTAGGTTAAAATCAGTTTAAAACATTATTATCAACTATATTGCCATATCTGTGTCCAATTCAGTGACCAATGATCCAGTCCAAAGCCTGTCCATAGTCTGTTCTAAAACATTGTGATTGTTGTCAAGTCTGTTACCCAAATGCCTGGTCCCAAAATCATGTTTTGAGCTTTTTCCTAAAGGAAAAGAGGGATGGAGCTGACCTAATTTCGCAGGGGAGCATGTTCCACAGACAGGGGTTCACCACCGAGAAGGCCTTGTCTCTCATCCCTGCCAAATCCGTTCGCGAAGAAGGTGGGATTGAGAGCAGGTCCTCCCCCGATGATCTTAAACTCCGAGGCAGGACGTAGCGGGAGATACGTTCGTACAAGTAAGCTGGCCCTAAACCAGGCTGCCATTATTCTAGCTTGGGGGCTAGTGGTTATAAGGACAACAGGATAGAAAAATGAAGCTTTGTGTTCTCTTTCTTCTAACTGACATCTACTTTCTCTCTATTTTTAAGGTACAATCATGGAGTTTAACACCACTACCTTGTGGTCCAGCAATGCACCTTTGTTGCTTTCTTCTAAACCCAAAACAAATGTGAGCAATGTCGTGGACATGATCCAAGTCTTCCTCTATGGATTGGTTTTCCTACTTGGTTCCTTCGGCAATGGAGTTGTGATGTGGATCACCTTTCGCCAGGTCTCACGCACCGTCAATTGTGTCTGGTACTTCAACTTGGCCTTGGCTGACTTCCTGTTCTCAGTGACCCGCATCGTGCCACTGCTCAAGAATGCTTTTTATGAAGGATGGCCCTTTGGAAACTTCTTGTGTCGAGCAACCAGTTTCGTCAAGTACCTTAATATGTTCTGCAGCGTCTTCCTCTTGGCTGCTATCAGTTTGGACCGGGCAGCTTCTGTGGTCTACCCGGTTTGGTCCAGAAACCGCCGCGGGCCACGCTTGGCATGGTTGGCTGCCATCTGTGCCTGGTTCATTGCTGTGACCACCAGCCTCCCATTCTACCTTTATCGAAAGGTTGTGATTGACAAGAGCAACAAGACCAAATGCTCCCTCACGTTGGGAGATGGAGAAGCAGAAAAACTGGTTCCTTATCTGCTGAGGTTTGTGTGTGGGTTCCTGGCTCCTTTTGTCATCATTGTGGTTTGCTATGGGGCCATTGCTGTGCAACTGAGGCGACGGCAAGCCACCTTCCGCTCCAAGAAGCCCTTCAAGGTCATCCTGGCCATTGTGGTTACCTTCTTCCTCTGCTGGGCACCATACCATCTCTTCCTTCTCCTCAAACTGGGAGGAGTGAAGAGCCAGGCAGTTTCCATCGGGCTTCCTCTCACTTCTTGTCTGGCTTACCTCAATAGCTGTGCTAATCCCATTCTTTATTTCTTCATGGGCCTGGATTTCCACAGGAAGTGTTTTAACCTACCAGGGGCCTTCAGGAGAGCCTTACTCGAAGACAGTACATATTCCACTAGGAAGCCCAGCAAATTTACAAAAGAAGGTGCTTCTTCTATTGATGAGCTGGAGGACTCCACAGTGATCCATAATGTGGTCTGAAGAATCCCAAGGTCATAGAGGCCTTTTGGGTGATAAGATCCATGTGCAATTGTGACTGAAATTGTGTTTTAACCAACACAATCCTTTCCTGACCCATGACATTTTGGGCTGTGCTTTTCTCCCATTCCTAAATCTGAAGGGACATTGCATTTGATCCACAATGGGGACATTTTTGAACCACGGATAATGGTTAAAGCTAACGCTAGTACCAGACAGGCGCAGTCCTATCATGCTTTGGTCCCAATGACTGGTGAGATGTTTTCCCTCCTAACCCAACTACCATTGTTTTGGCCTTTGAGAGAGAAAACACAACCAACATTTGCTGGACTTCATCCCTTTCCAAAATGCCACCCTCTTTCCTTTTGTTTCACAAGTCTGAGGGCAGGGAACTATCAAACTAATGATTTAGAAACTGCCCTGGCAACTGAAGGACTGGTTGTAAATATATAAATAACAGTATGCAACATGATTTTTGTTCCTGCATTCTAAATTAGGTATATCATAAAACATCAAAAAAGTTTATTAAATTGCAAAAACTTTGTTTTTGCAGGACATCCTGCAGCACATTTCGCTATAGTTTTCAATTAATGTGGAACCCCCGGTGATGCAGCAGGTTAAACCGCTGAGCTGCTGAACTTGCTGACTGAAAGGTCATTGTTTCAAATCTGGGAATTGGGGTGAGCTCCTGCTGTTAGCCCCAGCTACTGCCAACCTAACAGTTCAAAAACATGCAAATGTGGGTAGATGAAAAGGTACCGCTCCAGCGGGAAGGTAATGGCACTCCATGCAGACATGCCAGCCACATGACCTTGGAGGTGTCTCTGGACAATGCCAGCTCTTCAGCTTAGAAATGAGCACCACTCCTAGAGTCGGACATGACTAGACATAATGTAAGGGGAAACCTTTATCTTTACCTTTCAATTAATATCTCAATGAGTCTCAATCAATTCAATATAGTTTGTGGCAGCCACAAAGGCAAAGTTTCTGAAGTATAACAACTACTTTCAAAGTAAGTACCGCACAATTAAACAGAAAATAACATTTTCAAACAAGAAACAGAATTTTTTCCCCAAATTTTGTTGCATTGTGTAATCTTAGGATGGGGACAAGGAAAGTTGGGCAGGATATACCTCTTCCTGTCACCTGCTCTAACAGTGAATGAAAAGGTGAGGAGACTATAGAATACAGCTTGAGGAATGCATTGAGAACAAAGAGGAAGGAGTTTCCCAAGTTCATCTTCCCAAAACTGGAAAGCCAAGACTGTTGAAATCCATATGGGAATGTTCTTGGATTGCCCCATTCTCCTGTTCCCTTGATCTGTGAGACATTCCAGGACTGGGATTTATCTGGGTTTGGTTGCCTTTGGCTAATTGGACCAGTGACAGAAAGTGTTTTTGTAATATATGCTTAATTTACAAATATATAGGCAGAACATAATTGGAAGGTAAACATCATTCTCGCTTCCTCCCTCACACAGAGAAACAAACACACAGATACCTTCCAGTTACCCTCCCTAGCTTTCACTGGCCATTTCCTTAAAATTATTTTAAATTATCTCCTAAAGTAGTCCAGTTCAGTATTTACAGATTTACTGGTGTAAGTGGTGATGTGTTATTTCATGGTGGTAACACAATATTTTCGCATCCCAAAATATTCCAAGGAGATTGTTTGCCATAGAAATATGTGTGTTTTTTCTGCATAAAATATTTCGAGCACTTAAAAGAGTTTTTCGATGCAGAAAACAGGCGTTAAAACATGTTGTGTACATACACACACAGTTTGCACAGATAAGCACACACATTCTTCTGTGCAAAAGAATCTCCTACTGGACACTCCAAGGTGTTTGAATAATAGAAGAACACTATGCAAAAGTCTTGCATTATTCTTCTTGATTGGGTTTTCTGATTGTGTGGAAACTCATTTCCTGACTAGGAGACAAATGATGGTCAGCATTCTTCCTATCTCTGTTTCAAAGTCCTGTGCAATGTCTATGTGCCTTCAAGTTGCCTGTTGATTTATGGCAATTCTATGATTTTCATGATTTTTTTCAGACAAGGAGTACTCAGGTGCTCTGAAATATAGCGTATAGCATTTGATATTCTTTGCCACACTCCCATCTCAGTATCAAGCAAGGCTGATCCTGCTTAGCTCTCTGGATCAGATGGGCCCTGTTGCCTTCAGAATATTACTCCTATTCAGTGAATCAAACCCTGACTCCCTCTTTTGCTAATTCATAATGTGCTATGTAGTAGGCATGTGCATTCAGACCAAAAAGTATGCCGTTTTTGGGTCTGTTTTTGTCTGCCCCTCATTTCATTTATTGGAAAGCTAGGAGCCCCCAGAGGTGCAGTGGGTTAAACCCCTGTGCCAGCAGGACTGAAGACTGGCATGTCACAGGTTCAAATCCAGGGAGAGCGCGGATGAGCTCCTTCTATCAGCTCCAGCTCCTCACGTGGGGACATGAGAGAAACCTCCCACAAGGATGAGAAAACATCAAAACATCTGAGCGTCCCCTGGGCAACATCCTTGTAGATGGCCAATTCTCTCACACCAGAAGTGACTTGCAGTTTCTCAAGTCGCTCCTGACATGACAAAAAAAATTACCGGAAAGTTACCCAAAAGAGGAGGGAAGTTTCTGTTTCATTTGGCAGAGATTCAGCCCCTTTGCTACAGTGAGAAACTTTAAACTCTCAGCCATTTTAAGTCCTATCTGCATGATAGTTCCATCTGAACATTAGGAAGAACTTCCTGACTGTGAGAGCCGTTCAGCAGTGGAACTCTCTGCCCCGGAGTGTGGTGGAGGCTCCTTCTTTGGAAGCTTTTAAGCAGAGGCTGGATGGCCATTTGTCAGGGGTGATTTGAATGCAATATTCCTGCTTCTTGGCAGGGGGTTGGACTGGATGGCCCATGAGGTCTCTTCCAACTCTTTGATTCTATGATTCTATGATTTGATTCTATGATTCTATGAAACCTATGTCAGTTGTAGACCCCATTTACAACTGCAGATCTGCCAAGTTTCAAAATTCACCAATTTACTGATTTTTTTAGCAGTACTTTAAGTTTTAACCATAACATTTAAAAAAAATTAGACATACCACAAGGATGCTGGTAATTGTAGCTGCGGACTGTGTCAATTCTCAGCCCATCAGAGTATAGACACCACCAGACTTTTTATTGACTGAGACACAGAGAGGGAGAAAAACATCAGCTCCCATCGTGCTCGGAGAGAAACTTTTCAATGGCCACCCTATGCTAATGCAACTAAGAAAGCCATTTCCCAGGGCCTTTCGGGAGAAGGAGATAAATTTCCAAGAAAAAAATGGAGAAGGCTTCTTCTGCCGGGGATAGAAAAAGATGCCATGGATCCCCTTGCCTCAGGTATTTTGTGGACTTAACACTTTCCAAAAATTTCGGCTCTCTGAATCCATTTTGCTGGCCATTTCATTTCTCGTTTCCCCTTTCTATTTTTGGAAATTAAACTAAAATGGCCTTCGAAAAGTTCAAATCTTTTCATTAACAGTGATTTCGGCTCATGTCTACTATGTAGCCCTCTGAAAACAATAGCTAAGGAGAAAGAGTCATGTACACAGAGAGGGAGGGTACCTCCACCCCATATTCCATATTCTTTGCAAAGGGAGAGGGGCTGCCATCAAGCAGGTCAGGATTTTTAAATCTTTTTTTCTAGCAAGAGAGAACACATAGGGAGCTCAAGAGGGAGTCGATGGGGGTATACTGCAGCTATCTTCCTCAGCTTCAGTTGACTGAGGCAATTGCTTCACTCGCTCCAATGCTGTGTCAAGTCTTGGGTATGTCCTATTGACATGTATTTTTTATTTATGTGTGTATCTGTGTATCACTCATAAATTCTGCTTCATTGTCAGTAACTCATTATGTATAAAACTCAAAAAAGCTACAAATAGGTATTGGAGCTGCTCCAGGGAGTCCATTCACATTACACAATTATAGTGCTATAATTCCATTTTAATGGTCATGGCAGAATCCTATGGAATCGTGAGTTTTATCATTTGGGGAGATACTAGATTTCTCTGGCTGAAAATTCTCAATATTCCTCCTGAAACTTTAAATGCCAGGATTCTATGAGTTGAAAGGTCCCCTAGTGGTACAGTGGGTTAAACCGCTGAGCTGCTAAACTTGCTGACCGAAAGGTTGGCGGTTCGAATCCGGGGAGCAAGGTGGGCTCTCCCTGTTAGCCCCAGCTTCTGCCAACCTAGCAGTTTGAAAACATGCAAGTGTGAGTAGAGCAATAGGTACTACTGTGGGAAGGTAACGGCGCTCCATGCAGCCATGGCGGCCACATGACCTTGGAGGTGTCTACGAACAACACTAGCTTAGAAATGGAGATGAGCACCACCTCCCAGAGTCGGACATGAGTAGACTTAATGTCAGGGAAAACCTTTACCTTTACCTATGGGATGAAACCATGGAAATTAAGGTGCAATTGTATTGCTATATCTGTTTAGTGTGAAAGGGCCCCAGGTGTGATCTAAACTTGGGGTGTTGTCAAGAGTTCTTCTCTTTTCTCCTTTGACTCTCCTTCGATATTTCAGCTTTTTAGACACATCGTAGATTGCTTCACAGCTTCTTGCTACTTCCGTCCTAGTTCTGCCTGTTGTGATGGTAAAGCAGTCGTAAATAACCATTGCAAGGAAGGTTTTTAATTATTGTTTCTTTCAAAAAATGGTTCTAAAGTGGTTGCAAAATAAAATTCATTAACTAAATTACAGTCATAAAATAGTCCTCCTAATGCCACGATGGTTAAACGAGACACAAAAGGGACACACCTCTGCAGAGGATTAAATCACCGTCTTTCTCAATGTTTCCAATAATTCAAAACAAGTTATTCATCCAGCTTTGCAGCCTAAACAGGAGACAGACACCCTTCGTCATAAATCCAAATAGCTCGGTTTGTGAGCTGTTTTGTTGTAGGCGGCGCTTGCTCATGGCCTGAGACAATTGCACATTGTCCTCGCACCAGATATCAGGAAAAGGGGAAGAGAGTTTTCCCGCAAACAATAAAAATGGTGATACATTGTATGTATGTATATATCCTTTGTCTATGAACCAGAGTATATGGGTCCCACATCATGTGCATGATGTTCATTTTGTCCTCCCCACAACCTTGTGTGATAGGTTAAGTTGAGGAACAATGCTGAGGATACTCCATGTGCATGGTGTCCATTTTATCCTCACCCCCGTGTGAGGTAGGTTACACTGAGAAGCAGTGGTAAGCCCAAAGTCTCCCAATGAGCTTCAGAGATTGACCAGAATTTGAACTCAGATCTCTCGTCCCAATCTTATTCTAACACTGCAGTGACAGCTTGTGGCTTCCCAGTCATTGCAGTCTCAAATTCTGGATTTGTGTTTGATCCTTTTTTTTTAAAAAGCTATCCAAAGTGCTGAATCGTGGAGCCAAATCAGAATAGTTGGAGGATGTATGACTGTGTGCATGTATGTGCCTTCAAGATACTTGTCAATTTATGGCCATCCTATGAACTTCATAACATGTTTATAGGTAAGGCATACTCAGAGATGGCTTTGCCAGTTCCTTCCTCTGAAATGTCTTTTTGACATTTTGAGTCACTTTAAGAGAGAAAAGGTGAAATACAAATAATAAATAAATGTAGCCTCCAACACCTGGTATTCATTGCTGACTTTGCGACAGTGTTTCTCAACCTGGGGGTCAAGATCCCTGGGGGGTTGCCAAGGGGTGTCAGAGGGGTCACCAAAGACCATCAGAAAACATAGTATTTTCTGTTGTCCATGGGGGTTCTGGGTGGGAAGTTTGGCCCAATTCTATCATTGGTGAATTCAAAATGCTCTTTGGTTGTAGGCGAACTATAAAACCCAGCAACTACAATTCCCAAATGTCAAGGTCTATCTTCCCCAAACTCCACCAGTGTTCACATTTGGGCATATTGGATATTCGTGCCAAGTTTGGTCCAGATCCATCATTGTTTGAGTCCACAGTGCTCTCTGGATATAGGTGAACTACATATCCAAAACTCAAGGTCAATGCCCACCAAATCCTTCCAATATTTTGTGTTGGTCATGGGAGATCTGTGTGCCAAGTTTGATTCAATTCCATCGTAGGTGGAGTTCAGAATGCTCTTTGATTGTAGGCTAACTATAAATCCCAGAAACCACAACTCCCAAATGACAAAATCAATCCCCCCACTCCAGCAGTATTCAAATTTGGGAGTATTGGGTATTTCTGCCAAATTTGGTCCAGTGAATCAAAATACATCCTGCATATCAGATATTTACATTATGATTCATAACAGTAACAAAATTACAGTTGTAGCAATGGAAATAATTAACGTGACGAACTGTCTTGTGGGGTTGTGTGGCATTAGGAAGATTGAGAACTACTGCATTACTGTATGAGCCCTGTATCCACTTGTATCCTTGGTTTGATTTGGTTTGGTTTGACAAAGTGTCTCTTCTCTAGACATTTTCTAGGCAATTCTATGGTAGACTTCCACCAGAAGTTGTCCACAGAGTTATGCTGGAGGACCTAGACGTGTCTAGAGAGGTATCATCTCTAAACATTTTCTATGTCTCCAAGCACAGTTTTATGGTGTGGTTACAAGTGATATCACTTGTTCAAACAGGTTTGCTGTTACACACAGTTTTGTATATCAAACTTGGGTGTATCGGATATTTGTGCCAAATTTGGTACAGTGAATGAAACTACATCCTACATATCAGATATTTACATCACAATTCATAACAGTAGCAAAATTACAGTTGTGAAGTGGGAACAAAAGTAATTTATGGTTGGGGATCACCACAACATAAGGAACTGTATTAAGGAGTTGTGGCATTAGGAAGGTGGAGAACCACTGCTCTAGGATATGGGTTATTTGTAGGGATTTGTGGATCGGGACATTGGTAGGGATACCATGGTGTTTGTTTAGAAAGCTATTGTCCTCCCAACTCTGTTGGACACCTGCAAAGAATGGACAGTCTACAAACATTACTCTTGACTTCTGGAACTATTCCCACCAGCATTGTTTTAAACAATCCTACAAATCTCTTGAGAAGACAGGCAGACAAACATCGGTGTTCTGGAAGAAGCAAAGATCATCAGTATAGAAGCAATGATTCTCTGCCACCAACTTCACTAGACTGACCATGTTGTCAGAATGCCCAAACACTGTCTCCCAAAGCAGTTGCTTTACTCTCAGCTCAAGAATCATAAATGGAATGTCGGTGGAAAGTAAAAAGAGTTTTAAAAATGGGCTCAAAGCAAACCATAAAAAATATAATTGTGTGGAATAAACACCAAGAATTGAGAAGCCCTCTCACTTGGGCACTAGAACTGGAGGTCAGCTATTACCAACTGTGCTATGGAGTTTGAGAAGGCACAAATAGAGGTCAAAAAGGAGAAAGGTGCCACGAGAAAGGTGCTTCAAGAGAACCCTTGTTAGGACTGCCTTTCCAAATGGAAATGTATGTCCTCACTCTGGAAGACCATGCAGATCCAGCTCTCTACAGTCACTTTTGGACCCACCACCAAGATTCTACCCCTGTTACGATTCATAACAGTAACAAAATTACAGTTATGAAGTAGCAACGAAAATAATTAACATGGCGAATTGTCTTAAGGGGTTGTGGCATTAGGAAGGTTGAGAACCACTTCATTACATTATGAGCCCTGTATCCACTTGTATCCTTGGTTTGATTTGGTTTGGTTTGACAAAGTTTCTCTTCTCTAGACATTTTCTAGGCAATTCTATGGTAGACTTCCAATTCTATGAAAGACAATCATACTCAACCACAAGAGATCACATAATTTTGGCGATTCCTTGGTGACCCTAGCCTGGAATTTTCTCATCAAAATCTCTTCAGACCAGGTGTGCCATTGCCTTCCTTTTAGTCCAAGTGTAATTGACCTGAGGTCACCAGTGGATTTCCATGGTTAAGCAGAGATCCAAGGACTTGTCACTTTGAGATCTTGCATTCAAAACACTACACCACATGGGTTGGTTTCAATTTGACAAATGGTGCAAAGCCCTGCATTCAGTTTTCAAACTTATTATGAATTGCCTACTTCGGTTATCAAGAATCAGCATCTTGAAGGAGTCCTTCAAATTTCAGACTGTGCTCCACATCATATTTACTACTCCCCTGACATGAGTCATTGGTCACTGTGGCTCCATAAGTTGCTAATGAGACTGTCCCTTGACTCTGAGTTTTGACCTGGATAGAAGTGTAGCCATGGGAACAACGAGAAATTAAATTTCATGGGCTCCACATTTCTCCAGCCAGTGTCTGGCATAATTCCAAACAGATGCAGACAAACAAGATTCCACAGTGAAAGATTTTGAAGAGCAGATGAAGGTGGAGGTGCAGTATAAGAAATTAAAAGTCATCCAGAGGTCAGAATGAAATATATTAACAGGGATGGGCTAGAGAGCACCATGTTTGGACTGAGAAATATTATCATATATACCCCTGAACAAGCTGACCTCATGTACAAGTTGAGGGCAGGTTTGGGGGTCAAAATTGTGGATTTTGATGTGACCCAAAAAGGAAAGGTGGGGGTAAATGTTGACAAACCCACATGATCTCTTCAATCATCTGGAGAGGCCCTATTGGTGGGGACGAGGGAGAGGGCCTTCTCGGTGGTGGCCCCCCGACTCTGGAACTCACTCCCTAAGGAATCAGGCATGCCCCAACTTAGGCAATTTTTAGGAGGAGCTTGAAAACATGGTTGTTCCAGTGTGCCTTCCCAGAATAAGGAAACTCCCAGCAATATGTCCCTAATTGCACCTTATTAGTAATCTAGAACTGTCTGTATGCCCCATTCTTTTCCGAAATTCTATCCTAGTTATATTTCACCTGGTCTTGTCCAGCATTATTTTTAAATTTTAACTATTACATTTGGCCCAAAAACATTGGTTTTTAAATGTTGAGTTATTGTTGATGTTTACTGCCTATTTTTTGTTTATGAGTCTTATTTTATTTTATTGTTTTGTATTACTGCTACTGTTGTTTTTTGCTGATGTATTGTGGTCTCGGCCTCATGTAAGCCGCACTAAGTCCCTTGGGGAGATGGTAGCGGGGTATAAATAAAGTATTATTATTATTATTATTATTATTATTATATTATTATTACTTCCATTCTTCTTCCTCTCGTTCAGTTTCTTGGTCCAATCTCTCCCCTGCTTGTAACTTCCATTTTACTTCTTACTATTTTCAACCTTTATGTATTCTTCAAAGCTTGGCCAATCTGTCATTTTCAAGGGTCTGCCCATATTTTTCTTTAACAAAAAAAATAAATCAATCTGTCTATATCTTTTATTCCAGAACTTTATCTAGCCATTGCTCCTTTGTTGGTAAAGCCTTTGTTTTCCAAAGCTTTGCGAAAGTTATCCTTGCTGCTGTTGTGAAATATATAAAAAGTTTATCTTTATTTAAGTCAGCAATTGTGTCTGTATCCATCATTCCTAGTAAACAAAACTCTGGTTTTATTGGGTATTCTATCTTCAGTATCTTACAACATTCACCGTATATCATTTTCCAATAATTATTCACTTTGTCACAAGTCCACCACATATGGTAGTATGATCCTACTTGTGACTTGCATTTCCAGCATCTATTATCTAAATTTTTGTACATTACGCCTAAGTTTGAGGGGGTTATATACCATCAATGTAACATCTTTAACCAATTTTCTTTCAGATCTGACACATAGGTGTATTTCAATTTTTTAGTCCAAACCAATTCCCAATCTTTCAGTTTAATGGATCTTACAATGTTTCTTGTCCATTTTTCCATATAATTTTTATCTCCTCTGTTTCTGTACCCCAACTTAATAATTTATTGTAAATCTTTGTTACTATCTTTTTTGAATCAGTTTGTTCCAGAATTCTTCATTCTCACTAAATCCTAGTTTTTTTTTTAATCTTCTGTATTTCTATTCCAAAACTCCATTATGGCTATCTCCTCTAGAAGCCAGCCAGAGAAGATTTTTGGGATGGACAACGTGGCCTGTATATAGAGAATTGCTGACAAAAAAGAAAGACATGGTTCAATTAAATACACAAGAGGAACTACCCCAAAGATTTAAGAATATATCCTGTTTCAATATATGCAGATTGGGTGGATTTTTTGACTAAAATTTCTGGACGTAAACATGTGTATAAAGGATAAGTGTAGACAGAGACCTGAGACATCAATTTGCAAATAGGAATGAATGGCATGACACTCATATCTGTTTTCCTAGAGAGCTTTATACAATAAATAGCCTACCATTTTATACCCGAGTGCTTATTTTAAAACAGTATTTCCAGGTAGTCACAAAAAAGAGAGCCCCAGATACATAATAAATACAAGAAGAGCTACACAGTATGGCCACTATCTGGTCAGTGTACTTAGTGAAAAGTTGGAGTCCCAGTGGGAAGTTTCTCCCACATCTTCCAACAACAACAACAAAACTTTATTACGGTCCACGACCAGCACAAAGAATACATCTTCCAATAGTCTTCCATTGGCCAGACAAGTACTGTGCCAAAACATGATGGGAAAAGTTGCAAGTGGTGGCAAAAATATAAACAATGTTGTGTTAATGGATCCTGACAGGAAGACCAAGCTTCATTTATCTAGGTTAAGTTCCACTTTATTCTTCCGTGCCTTCAAGTCAACTCCCATTCATGGTGATCCTCTCCTAAAGTTTTCATAGCAAGATTTATTGGCAAAGCAGGTTGGCCATTGCTTTATTTTGAGGCCGAGATAATATGATTTGCCCAAAGTCACCCAGTGGGTTTCCATGGCTATGGTTCAAACAACAGTCTTTCAGAGTCGTAATCCAACAATCAAACCCTGGATGATTTAAAGGAGTTAAAATTCACAGAACTTTCTCCCTTTTCCTAGGATGCATTGCTTGCTCTCAAAGATGCTGTCCAAGAAACACAACTTCTGGTTCAGATTCCTTGGAACTGAAATCATACTTTACAAAAGTAGCTGGAAAACACACCATCGATGTTCCATCTGCCAACACGTTGGTCTTCTCGGATGTGAAGACTTTGGCAACTGTTATGAGCAGCCACTGCCAACAATTCTATATATGGACAGACCCCACTTCTTACTTAGAATCCCACCCTGTCTGTGCAAATATTGGTGGGCCAAACAGCATTCTGACCAAACAGAAACATAGTCAAGCCTCTCCCGTTGTCTATCATGCTGCCAAGATATAGTTTAGCAATGGATGCTCCGTGGGGAGAAGCACTAGGTTCATAGTTGAGCATGAATGGTAGAGTCTACAGCATGACATGCTCATCAGTAGCGAACATTCTCTTCTGCTGCTGTAACAATAGCGTCCATCCAAATGCGCATCGCCTCCGAGGTGGGTGCCACCATACAGAAGAGGCGGTCATAGGTCTTGACGCAGAAGGTCATTTTGGGGCTGGGGCTCTGCCAAAGAAGAGCAAAACAGTCAATAGAATGGAGAAAGACTGTAACAACACATTGGTTGATAACACTATGTGACACAACTTTTGATCCTGGGTTATAAATGCCATTTCCTACTTGGTTCTTTTGCAGTTTATTAAAGACTTTCTGTATAGATTTCCACGCCTTAGTCACCTCTAGACTGGATTACTGCAATGCACTCTAAGTGGGGCTGCCCTTGAAAACGGCCCAGAAATTTCAGATGATCGGCGGATCTGGCCAAAGTGGTCCACGCCTTAGTCACCTCTAGACTGGATTACTGCAATGCACTCTACGTGGGGCTGCCCTTGAAAACGGCCCGGAAATTTCAGATGATCCAACGGGCGGCAGCCAGGTTGTTAACTGGGGCTCTTACAGAGAGAGGTCATCCCTCCTGTTCAAGGAGCTCCACTGGCTGCCATTCATCTACCGGACCCAATTCAAGGTGCAGGTTCTTTCCTACAAAGCCCTGAACAGTTTGGGACCCGCCTACCTGCGTGATCGCATCTCTGTATACGAACCCACACGATCCCTTTGGTCATCTGGAGAGGCCCTGCTCTCGATCCCACCAGCATCACAGGCGCGATTGGTGGGGACGAGAGAGAGGGCCTTTTTGGTGGTGGCCCCTCAACTCTGGAACTCACTCCCTAAAGACATCAGACAGGCTCCAACTTTGGCAGTCTTCAGGAGGAACTTGTCCTCCAAAGCACTTTACATTTCTTTAAGTCTTCGCATCTGCCCTTCCACAAACACCGGTATCACCTTTCGTTCATGTCCCAGCATTACTTCCAATTTTAACTTAACATTTGGCCTTCCCACTGTTTTTAATTATGTGTTGTTTTATTGATAATGTTGTTTTTTATTGTCTATATTTTTTTTATTGCTTGTATTGTTGTTATTATTGCTTGTATTGTTGTGTTTGGCTCGGCCTCATGTAAGCCGCACCGAGTCCCTTGGGGAGATGGTAGCGGGGTACAAATAAAGTGTTATTATTATTATTTCAATATTAATGTCAAAAATACATAGTATAATTTTACATAGTATTTTGTGCTATATTAGAACAGTAAAGACAAATATCACTTAAGTAAAAGAAATATTAAATATTAAATAACCAGAAAAATAAAATAAACTCATCTGGGAATCTGCTATTGCAACACATCCAATGAAGTGGTTTAATACCAGTATAAAAAAAGATTAGGACTAAGTACGTTCCGGTATTAAAGTGCAAAAACTTTGTTTTTGCGGGACATCCTGCAGCACATTTTGCTATACTTTGTCAATGAATATCTCACTGAGTCTCAACCAATTCAACATAGTTTGTGGCAGCCACAAAGACAACGGTTCTGGGGTATAACAACAATAAAGTTAAGCACCACCCAATTATACAGAAATAACACTTTCATACGAGGAAAAGAAAAAAAAATTGAACTTTTGTTACATAGTCTAATTTCAGAAGGCACAAAGTTGCTTCTTTGACAAAAAGTAAATCTGTTCTTCCTATAATAATAAATAAATTTATTTATTTTATTTACGACATTTATATGTCGCTCTTTTCACCCCGGCCTCATGTAAGCCACACCGAGATATATATATATATATATATCTTGTAAGAGCATATTATATTATATTATTAGCATAGTAAAATATCAGTATTAAATATTACTATATTGTACTATACCATTATATTGTAATATTGTTGGTAATATTACATGTAATATAAATATATAATTATAATATCATATTATTATTAGTAGTAGTATATTGCATCACATTATATTATAAATATTATATGTATCTCTACAATATATTATATTATATATTATATTATATTATATTATATTATTAGAATAGCACAGGAGACAATAATAATAATAATATAATAATAATAATAATAATAATAATAATAGGTTGCTGTGAGTTTTCCTGGCTGTATCACCATGTTCCAGAAGCATTCTCTCCTGATGTTTCACCCACATCTATGTCAGGCATCCTCAGAGGTTGTGAGGTCTGTTGGAAACTAGACATGGGAGGTTTATATATCTGTGGAATGTCCAGGGTGGGAGAAAAACTCTTGACTGTTAAGGGCAAGTGTAAATGTTGCAATAAATCACCTTGATTGTAATTAGAAAGCACTGCAGCTTCAAGGCCTGGCTGATTGCTGCCTGGGGAGGGAGGTGTTAGCTGGCCCTGATTTTTTCATGTCTAGAATTCCCCTGTTTTTTTAGTGTTCCTCTTTATTTACTGTCCTTATTTTAAAGTTTTTTAATACTAGTAGCCAGATCAAGCCTGCGTCACAAACGAGAGGGGACGAGAGACAGGACCTTCTCAGTGGTGGCCCTTCGGCTATGGAACACCCTTCCTGGGACATTAGATCGGCCCCCTCCCTCTTAACATTTTGGAAGAGAGTCAAGACTTGGCTGTTTGAGCAAGCGTTTGAAAACGCAAGGTAAAAGACATAGGAATTGGGTCTGGACGACGAGATGGGACAATGTTTTTATTAGGAGACGCAAATGATGTATGCTTTTAGTATTCTTGTTATGGTTATATATTACGTATTAATGTTTTTAAATGTTGTATGGTGTTTTTGGGCATCGAATCGTTGCCATTGTAAACTGCCCTGAGTCGCCTAAGGGCTGAGAAGGGCGGTATACAAATATAGTAAATAAATAATAAATAAATAGCAGAGCGCTTGGTGAACCAATTTTAAGGAACACAGCATATTATTTGAGAACACAGAAATGCTGGACCACTCTAACAACCACCATGCCTGGGAAAAGCACAGATGAGCTCCCTCTGTCAGCTCCAGCTCTCCATGTGGGGACATGAGAGAAGCCTCCCACAAGGATGGTAAAACATCAAGACATCCGGGCATCTCCTGGGCAATGTCCTTGCAGATTACCAATTCTCTCACACCAGAAGCAACTTGCAGTTTCTCAAGTCACTCCTGACATGAGAAAAAAATTAAAAATAGAGATATGAGGGCTTGGCATACCTTGAATGCACTGCGGAGATGGTCATAGTAAACCTCTTCAATGGCCTGGAAGTAAATCACGCCCTTAAGCTTGGTTTCTTCTTTATCTGAAATGAAAAAGGTACAGAAGAACTTGGAATAGGTTGAGCAAAGAGTGTCCCAAAGGCATACACAAATGATAGATGTATAAAAATAATAACAATGACAACAATAATATATTTAATGTATTGTCGAAGGCTTTCATGGCTGGAATCACTGGGTTGTTGTAGGGTTTTTTCGGGCTATATGACCATGTTCTAGAGGCATTATCTCCTGACGTTTGTGAGAGATCTCACAACCTCTGAGGATGCTTGCCATAGATGCAGGCGAAACGTCAGGAGAGATTGCCTCTAGATCGTGGTCATATAGCCTGAAAAAACCTACAATAACCCAGTAATATATTTATTATCCACCTCTCCTAACAGCTCGAGGCAGGGCACAGCAGAGTTAAAACACATCCATAAAAGCACAATGAAAACATACACATATTTAAATACATGAAGCAAATGTTAAAACACTATAAACCTAAAATGTGATTGTGAAATTCATAGCTAAAACAGAAGCTTCTTGGGAATGTTTCTTTGGAAATCCTTTTATAACACCGGCACACATCCAACACAAACACATATACACATACATACTCAAAGGGCAGCAGTGTTGGTCTTGTGTGCCTTCAAGTCATTTTTTTTTTCAATTTATGGCAACACTAAGATAAACTTATCACTGGGATTACTTGGCAAGACATTTTCAGAGGGCCATTGCATCAGAAAACAAGAGCAAACTTTACAGCACACTTGTGAAAAAATGGCCTTGAGTTTTCCAGGCTGTATGGTAATGTTCCTGAAGCACTCTTTCCTGATGTTTCACCCACATCTATGGCAGGCCTCTTCAGAGGTTGTGATTACTGTTGGAAACTAGGCAAGTGAGGTTTATATATCTGTGGAATAATGTCCAGGGTGGGAGAAAGAACTCTTGTCTGTTGGAGGTAGGTGTGAATGTTTAACTGGCTACCTTGATTACCAGTGAATAGCCCTGCAGCTTCAAAGCTTGGCTGATTCCTGCCTGGGGGAATCTTTTGTTGAGAGGTGATTAGCTGGCCCTGGTGGTTTCTTGTCTGGGGTTCCCCTGTTCATGAGTGTTGTTCTTTCTTTACTGTTCTGATTTTAGAGTTTTTAAAATATTAATAGCCAGATTTTGTTCATTTACATGGTTTCCAGAAAAGAAAAAATCAGGGCCAGCTAATCACCTCTCAAACTACAAGAAAGGAGATTCCATCTGAACATGAGGAAGAACTTCCTGACTGTGAGAGCTGTTCAGCAGTGGAACTCTCTGCCCCGGAGTGTGGTGGAGGCTCCCTCTTTGGAAGCTTTTAAACAGAGGCTGGATGGCCATCTGTCAGGGGTGCTTTGAATGCAATATTCCTGCTTCTTGACAGGGGGTTGGACTGGATGGCCCATGATGTCTCTTCCAACTCTATGATTCTACGATTCTATGAAAGGATTCCCCCAGGCAGGAAGCGGCCAAGTCTTGAAGCTACATTTCTCCCATTGGCTATTTAATGTTAATCAAGGTGATCAATTGCAGCATTCACACTTGCCTCAAGCAGACAAGAGTTCTTTCTCCCACCCTAGACATTATTCTACAGGTATACAGTATAAACTCCACTTACCTTGTTTCCAACATACCTCACAACCTCTGAGGATGTTTGCCATAGATGGGGGCAAAACATCAGGAGGAAATGCTTCTGGAACGTGGCCATACAGCCTGGAAAACTCACAGCAGTCTAGTGATTCCAGCCATGAAAGCCTTTGACAATACAATGGCCTTGATCTCTGTTTTTGAGTATCTCTGTTATTCTCTGTGTGCGTGTGTTCTGTGTGTGTGTTTTCCTCTTTATTCTTCTCCCTTTTTCCTTACCTACGTAGTATGCCAAGACACGTTTCTGCCGATCAAAGGTGAACCAGCGTTTCTTCCAGGTCTTGATTCTACCTCCCATCTTGACCAGATACCCTTTGCAAGACTTGCTGGTCACCCGTACATGCGGACAGGTGTCCACGCTGTGTCCTGATGCCTCCAGGTGTTTTCGCAAGTCAAATGCAATTTGTTTGGGCTCTCGGATCTCCACCGGACGGGGAATCTGTAAGAGAAGCCATTGGGTAAAATCAGAATTGGAACTGGGTTTGTGGATAGAGAGAAGAATTGCTGTTCTGGGAGTTATCACTTTTAATCTATCTATATAAATAAAAATGTAATGTTCGTTTGTGGGATTAACATAACTCAAAAACTACTGGACGAATCGACACCTAATTTGGACACAAGACACCTATCACTCATAAAAACACTGAAAAACACAACAGAAGGGACTTAAAAAAAACCCAAAACAAAAAATACATTACAATGCATGCGCAAAACCACATATATATACACAAACACACATATATACACACATATATCACATACACAGAAAGGGGGAAGGAAGGAAGGAAGGAAGGAAGAAGAAAGGAAGGAAGGAAGGAAGGAAGGAAGGAAGGAAGGAGAAAAAGGGGGAGAGAGAAAGAGGGAAAGAAGAAGGGAAAGAAGGAGGGAAGGAGAGAAAGAAGGAAAGAATATAGAGAAGGAAGGAAGGAGAGAAGGAAATAAGAAAGTGAAAGAGGGAAGGAAGGAGAGAAGGACCGAAAGAAAGAGTGAGAAAAGAAACAGGTAGAGAAGGAAGAAAGAAGGGAAAGAAAAGGAGGGAAGGAAGGAAAGGGGGAGGGAAGGAAGGAGAGAAGGAAAGAAGGAGAGAAAGAGGGAAGGAAGGTTGGCCACAGCAACACGTGGTGGGTACAGCGTGTGTGTGTGTGTGTGTGTGTGTGTGTGTGTTTGTGTGTGTGTATACAGGCATTGGATGCCACTGGGCATGCTGGAATCATGCAACAGTTGGTGTGGACATCTGAAGACAAGCATAGCCTATGAACTCTTACAGTCCTAGTCCAGATGCCAAAAAAGTTACATTTTTGTGTGAAAGTTCTCAAAATGGTCCTGGCCAATATAATCATAGACCATACTTCTTACAGGATTTTGAACAATGTTGCACTAATATATAGATGCATGGATGGATGGATGGATAGATAGATAGGGCCCCCTGGTGGCACAGTGGATTAAACCATTGAGCTGCTGAACTTACTGACTGAAAGGTTGGAAGTTTTAATCCGGGCAGGGTGAGCTCCCACTGTTAGCCCAGCTTCTGCCAACCTAGCAGTTTGAAAACATGCAAATGTGAGTAGATCAATAGGTACCGCTTCACGGGAAGGTAACGGCGCTCCATGCTGGCCACATGTCCTTGGGGATGTTTATGGACAACGCTGGCTCTTTGGCTTAGAAATGGAGATAAGCACCACCCCCCAGAGTCGGACACGACTAGACTTAATGTCAAGGAAAAACCTTTACCTTTTTATATATAGATTACATGATTTTCCTGCAATGGGATCCCAAAATTGATCCACTTGGGAGGGGAAAGTTTCCCCTCCAACAGAGGCATTGAAGAGATAGTTTTACAATTGCAGAATTTGTAATAACCTTCAACGCATCCCAGGCACACCCTTTTCTGGTTGCAAATAAAGATGAATTTCCTGTACTGGGAACTTTAAGAAGCAGCACTTCACTTGTAAAATAGTTTAGTAAGCCTTTCTCTCCCATTTAACATAAAAAGCTATTTGTTGCTCAAAGCAAAATGTGGATTTCTGAATGCTTTTGGTTTTATGTTGCTTTTAGGTAAAGGTTTTCCCCTGACATTAAGTCCAGTCATGTCCGACTCTGGGGGTTGATACTCCATTTCTAAGCCGAAGAGCCGGCGTTGTCCGGAGACACCTCCAAGTTCATGTAGCCAGCATGACTGCATGGAGCGCCATTACCTTCCTGCCGGAGAGGTACCTATTGATCTACTCACATTTGCATGTTTCGAGCCTGCGACCTTTCGGTCAACAAGCTCAACAGCTCATTATTATTATTATTATTATTATTATTAATTATTTATTATATTATAATTATTATTATTTGGTTGGCAGAAGCTGGGGTTAACAGCGGGAGCTCACCCCGCTCCCAGGATTTGAACCGCCGATCTCACAGTCAGCTAGCTCAGCAGCTCAGTGGTTTAACCTGCTGCGCCACCGGACGTCCCATTAAATGTAGTGTTGTAAAATGGTGTCCCTTAAATAAAATGGTCAAACAAAAGCAGAATTTGGTAAAAACGGGCAGAAGCTATTAACAGACAAAATAAAGATTTTCTTTTTGGACATTTCCAAAATATTTTTCAGCCCATGGATGGTTGATTGCATGGATGCAGATTCTGCGGATACAGAGAGCCAATCAAATTCCAGTCCTAATATTAGAAGGCTGCTGAAAAGAATGAAAAGATCATCTAAACAAGCTTCACATCAGGATTAAGGAACCTGAGTTTCTCTAGAAATTAATAAACGTATCCTTGTCTCATCCTTCGCCTCTGGTTGCTTGGGCTGTTTTTTGTTTGCTGACACATTTAGGAAGCTCTCTTACCTTAATTGATGGGGGCCGCTCCATGGGTTTTGCCTCCTTGGCTGCTTTCTTAACCTCCTGCAAAAGAAAGAGTTTGAAAGCAATCAGTTGTGGAAAGCATGGAATGTAAAAAAAGCAAGCTCCCTACAGTCCCAGACATACCTGAGCACACAGAGAGACACAAGCAAGACTCACAGCTTCCACCTATGTCTCCAAATCTCTCCTTCATGCATTCTGCATGAATGCAGGCAGCTGACAAAGTGAAACTAGCAACTTCCTTGTTCAAGGAAACTCATGTGACAAGTGGTTGCAAAAGAGAGTTACTCTGGGTGACAGCACAGCCCTGAGCTGAGAGTCGGTTTTTTTGCAAGGGGTAAAGTGATTAAAAGCTGCTAATTAGAATGGATGCGTATTTTGCACAGAACTAGTAGCAGCATCATGAGTGCCGGTGGCACAATGGGTTAAAACCTTTTGCCGGCAGAACTGAAGACCGACAGGTTGGAGGTTCGAATCTGGGGAGAGCATGGATGAGCTCCCTCTGTCAGCCTGCTCTTCTGCATCCTGAATGCAAAGAATCATAGAATCAAAGAGTTGGAAGAGACCTCATGGGCCATCCAGTCCAACCCCCTGCAAGAAGCAGGAATATTGCATTCAAATCACCCCTGACAGATGGCCATCCAGCCTCTGTTTAAAAGCTTCCAAAGAAGGAGCCTCCACCACACTCCGGGGCAGAGAGTTCCACTGCTGAACGGCTCTCACAATCAGGAAGTTCTTCCTCATGTTCAGATGGAATCTCCTCTCTTGTAGTTTGAAGCCATTGTTCCGCGTCCTAGTCTCCAGGGAAGCAGAAACAAGCTTGCTCCCTCCTCCCTGTGGCTTCCTCTCACATATTTATACATGGCTATCATATCTCCTCTCAGCCTTCTCTTCTTCAGGCTAAACATGCCCAGCTCCTTAAGCTGCTCCTCATAGGGTTTGTACTCCAGACCCTT